GTAGAATGTCTTCTGAACTATGCACACACACAAGGGCACGCTCACACATCCAACACACACACACACACACACACACACACACACACACACACACACACAAATGTTTCTGTCTCAAGTTCACATAAGGACTCATGATATCATAAGGATCTTCATTTCTTTATGGGTTAGGGTGCTGAATCTCCTAAAATAAAGTGAGGAATTTATCTTATGTACAGAAATGTCACCAATCAAGAGAAATAATATTTTAGCAAAACACTAAGACTCCACAATGAACAAAGTATCAAAGTTTGAAGTACAGTGTCTGACAATACAATTCTGCACCATAACTGAAGCATGAAAGGAAAAGGAAAATAGAAACCCATATGCATACTTTTAAGAATTAATAATTACTAAATTGCTTCTATTTTATTTTTTAATTCTTTTAAATTTCTTTCATTAAAGCCAGTAAAATTGTAATACATCCTAATTCTGTATCAGGGAAATGTTTTAAGCCAACTAAATTGTAATTTTTTAATATGCCTGCTTTCGATATTTCAACATTTTAAGTTACTTTAATATTCTGGGGGAAAATAACTCTAGTCCCACTCCTGCAGAATACAGAAGTTCAAGATGTCAAAATGAGTACTTCTACAATATTCCACACCCCAGAGGACATAAAAAAATCCTATCAAAATCAACAGTCATGCAGGGAAAAACTAAAAACCTTAAGAACCAAACACTTAGCCCGAAGTTTACCCCAGCTGAAGAGGGTTCTTCCTCCACCTGTGATGTAGGGTCTGGATTGGCAGGGGATGATATTTGTACCTCACCTTAGGATCCCTTAGGTCAGGAGATAGCTTCTTCCCCAGTGTTCCAGAGGGTGTCTGGTTTGGCTAGACAGAAGCAAACCTCAGCAGAGCTAGTCTCCAGAGATCCCAGCTCAAAAACCAGAGAGAATCCTTCCTACAGTTTCTGCACATACGACATCTGCTGATGACTCCAGATCACTAACATAGGAGCATACGTGAATGTGATCTGCTGTTACTCAGTGTGTAGATTATTAAGATCCCACCTATGCCCACAAATCTTCAATCTACATAGAAAATTGTAGAAAAAGAAGAAACAGCAAATCAGAAAGAACTAAGTACATGTATGCAAGACCATGTAAGGGGGGGGGGGCGGGAATTTACCTTTGTATTAATATGCTGAAACAAAAATGTTGAGTAAGACATGGTCTCTACCACCTCCCAATAGTTCCACCAAATTATAAATTCATCAGTGGATGAATCCACTGATAAAACCAGAGCCATCATAATCCAATCACATCTCAAAACTGCCACCTCTAGGAGCTGGAGAGATGGCTCAGAACACTGGCTCTCTTGCAGAAGAGCTGAATTTGGCTCCCAGCACTCACATGGTGGCTCACAACCATTTTTAACTCCAGTTTCTGTAGACCTGATGATCTCTTCTGGCTTCTGTTGGCACCAGGGAGGCACACATGTGGTGCATATACATGCATGAAGGCAAAATACTCATATATACAAAGTTAAATAAATGAGTCTTTTTAAATTGAAAAAAAAAAAAAACAGGAATTCATTTAATTTAACTCAATTTAAAGTTGCCTCATCCAGCCTTGATATGGGGTTTGTGTCCAGGCTTATTGTATCTTTTTTTTTTATTTTAAAAAAGTAAAAAGCAGCAGAGAAATTAAATGGGAGTTGCTGTTTGGGGGCTGTGGGAAACGAGGCACAAATTGTTTCACCTGCTGCCTGCTCGGCTAGAGAAGGCTGACATGGCTTTCAGATGAATGTTTCTGTTTTCAAGTTGAGAGGCAGACATTAGTGGAATCCACACTTCTTCCTTTTCTCTTATTTTCCCCCAGATCAAATTCAGAACCAGGAGGCTCACGCTGAGGCCTCTGCAGGAAACCATCCACAGTAGCTGCTGTAGGTATTTTTCAAGTCCTTTGTATATCACCTGAGTTTTCCACACTGATGCAAATGTGTCTTTCATGACTGAATCTTCCCGTTCCATCCCATCCATCTTGATAGTATGAGCATACCTAAAATTCTGAAATACAGAAGTGAGAAGACCAGCCTTCTACAACAAAATGCACCCAGTGAAGCATTAGCTACTTTGGTTATAGCTCTGGAGACGCCCCCCAGCAGAGAAACTTGGCAGGGAAAGACAACGAGCTGACTCATAATTCCAGAAGGATTTCAGTTCATCACCGCGGGGAGGGCAAGGTGGTGGGCACATGTGGTAAAGAGCCTCACACTGGGCCTGCCAAATTCTCCCACACCTACTTCTTATTGTCCAGTCATAGAAGGCCAGACTCCACTCACAAACCAAGACGATAAAAACACAATTTAGCAGTCCCATTTTGTTTTACTTTCAGTGAAGTTTGTATGCAAAGAGAAAAGCACCAAGCATGGCCACAAGTCATGTTCATTTGCTCTTTATAGACTTTCTGTTTCTCTTCCAAGATCTGCATATTGGGCATATAAACTAGTTTCAGAGGTTTAGTCCATTGTCAGAATGGTAGGAAGTATGGCAGACATGGTGCTGGAGAAGTAGCTGAAAGTTCCACATCTGGGTCAGTAGGCAGCAGGAAGAGAGAGAGCTTATTGCATCTTATTATGCCATGTTCAGCTGATATCCATGGGAAGCCTGCTCTTTTCTGAAGTGAAACAGAGGAGGGGTGGATCTGGGGGAGAGGCGAGTAGGGGGTACTGAGAAGTGGAGTGGAGGGAGGGGAGGCTGCTGGTGGAATGTATTGTATGAGAGAAGAATAAATAAAAAGAAAAATGTTCCACCTAAATACGCCACACGGGGGACAAAGTCTTTATCACATGAGCCTTTTGTGGGGACCACTTGATATCCACATCATGATAGTCATTATTATCATCATTGATACTATTTATTATGCTATATAGTAATATATTATTGTACAGTAATGTTTTAAAGTAAAGATGAAAGATTAAGTCAGGACACCATATTATTAAACTAATGCTTAGTTTATGATTGACTCAAATTTTCATACTTTGACTAATGGAATACTAGATTATATTATAAATGTAAATTGCTGTGTAATCAATAATAATTTTGTGGACATGTAAGCAGATATCTATGGTCACAGAAATAGATGAAAAACTGAATGCTATCTTCTGTTAAATAGTCATGTGCACTACTCAAAAAATGTCAGTATCTTTCAGTCTTATTTGACCAAGGAATATCAAATTATAAAACATGCATAAGTATTTCGTGCCTACATCTACAGACTATTCTATGGAAAACATTCTGTAATTAATGAAGGATCCTCTGAGGAACTGCCAGAAAGTAGCAACTTGATGTGTTCAGCCCTTTACAATGCTTAACATAGAGTCACTTGTAATTAGGTTAAAGTATAAAATATTTAAAACATTAATTCAGTTAAGAAATTAAAACCAGGTGTGGTGGTACACACCTTTAATCCCAGCACTTGGTAGGCAGAGGCAGGCAGATCTCTGAGTTCAAGTTCCAGGACAGCCAAGGCTACAAAGAGAAACCCTGTCTTTAAAAAAAAGAAGAAGAAAGGAAGGAAGGAAGGAAGGAAGGAAGGAAGGAAGGAAGGAAGGAAGGAAGGAAGGAAGGAAGGAAGAAGGAAGGAAGGAAGGGGAAAACCTGAGGTAAAATAACATAAAATTGTTAGTAATTTGCAGAGGCAGTATTAAAGATAAGACTGTAATTAAACAAATAACTCAGTGCTAGCAGATTTTCTGCAGTTTGAGCTAAGGATTCTATAAGTAGTGGTGGTGGTGGTGGTGGTGGTGGTGGTGGTGGTGGTGGTGGTGGTGGTGTGTGTGTGTGTGTGTGTTTATGGATTATTTCATTTAACCTTCTCAACAACTCTACAAAAGTGCCCCATAGTTGCAACAAGGTACTCATTTTATAGGTGAAAAAGTGAGAATTAAAAAATGTTAAATGAATTTCTGCATAGACAGAAAATAATGAGGATAAGATTCAAATGAAATTTTATGACTTCAAGTACCACCTATATGACTATGCAGACATTTCATCATTAGTGGTAGTGATAATAACTCATTCAGGAGCCAGCCTGAGAGGAAGAAGTTGAGAAAACTCAAGGGTTCCCCACTTAGTGAAGTTGATAAGATTGCTCCCCAAGAAAAGGAACACAGAAAACAATCTGGCTTGAAAGGAGGTTCCATATTCCAGAGGTGACAGCCAGTGAATGGGAGGATGTGTGTGTCTAAACACATACAGGGGGAGGGATGGAGGGAGGGAGGGAGGGAGGGAGGGAGGGAGGGAGAGAGGGAGGGAGGGGTGGGTGGAAAAAGGGAGAGAGTAGAAACACGAATTTAAGGGTCCCAGTGTAGGTGGTAGCTGAAGAAATAAATGGACATGACCTTTCCTAAATAAGTATGAAGGAGCAAGGGTCAAGAACATGAGTCCTTAAGAGAATACTCCAATCTCATGAATACTGTTACATGCGGCCAACAGCAAGGTCATCAGAAGCTAGCTAGAAGAGTCAAGAATGTCCTGTGTCTCCCTGCCTTGTCTGTTCCTAGTGTCTGAGTTAGAGCCAATGTGTGAGAAGTAGAGCTGCATGCAGCAGCTGACTTGCCTCTGGGAGGACAAACTATCACTGTTTTTGTGGACTGATGTCACTGGCCATTTCAATGTATCCTAGAGATTCATGTTCTAAGTTCATGGAGGCCGTCATCTTTTCACTTGTTTCACAAACATTTATTAAGTGCCAGACACTTTTCACATATAAAGGTACAAATGTGAAAGATACACACTCTTCTGGTCTCAAGGCATTTACAGTAATGTCTGGTTACAAAGAAATGAGCAGCTTATTACAACTCATTCTGCACATGTAGAGATTTGTATACGATGAACCAGGCACACAAAAGTAGGAGCCTAGAGAAAATGAGAAAGACTTAGCAGAGAAGTAGCTGTCGTCCTTCCCCCAACCCCACTCCCTAACCTCTCCTCCATCCCCCTCCTCCTGCCTCTGACTCATGAGTGCTGGGATTAAAGGTGTGTGTCACCACCACCTGTCTGAGATGGCAGTTCCTGAGTTGAAATTTGAAGAATGAGACAATATTCCAGAAGGCAAAACATATGTGCCCTTAAAAAAAAAAACCACCTGACACCATAGAAGATAGTAGAGAACTTTTATTAGCTTTGGTTTGATGTTTGTGACAAAATTTTGCTTTATAACTCAGGTTGCTCTTGAACTGACTATGTAAGCCAGGTTATTCTCAAACCCAGATCAATCCTTCCTCAGCTTCCTGAGTGATGGGATTACAGGAATGAACCACCAAGCCCAGCTTACTTGATTCTATATAAAGAAACAGTATTAGGGACTTTAAAATATCAGAGCCTCTCCATATATTAAATGTTTAAATATATTTATTTGTTTATAACCTTACTTCTTGTGATATATCCTATTACTGAAAAAGTCAAATTCTCATATCAGAGAATATAGCCTATTACTGAAAAAGTCAAATTCTCATATCAGAGAAATGTACACTTAGTTTACCATCTCTAGTTTTGAGGATAAATGTATGAAGTGGGTAGCACACATTAAACAAGAGAAAGAGATAAGGAAGACAAATCAGAAAATGGAAAAGTGGGAAGAGGACAAGGATGAAGCAAAAGAAGGACAGTCCTCTCTATCCAGGAATCTCTGCTCCTTGGCTAGCTTCCTTGATAAAGCTGAGTATAAAGATTCATAAGGACCCATCAACCCAAAGAAGAGGAACAACACTGAGTCTTGATGTCCAAGAACCAGTGGACTACACCCTCCCGGATTTGCTTAGTCTTAACCCCGTAGACAATGGGGTTCAGCATTGGTGGCACCACCACATAAAGATTGGCCAACAAGATATGCACGTGCCGGGGAATGTTCCGCCCAAAGCGGTGGGTCAGTAAAGTAAAGAAGGATGGAACGTAAAACATGAGGATTACACAGAGGTGAGACCCACAAGTGCTCAGGGCCTTGCGCCGAGCATCCTGGGAGGGCAAACGAAACACCGCTCGCAGAATGAGTGAGTAAGACACAGCAATGAGGATCACATCCATGATGACCATGACGATGGGCACTGAGAAGCCGTACCAAATGTTAACAGTGATGTCGGCACAGGCTAAGCGGGCCACCCCAATGTGCTCACAGTAGGAATGGGGGATGATGTTGGTTTGACAGAACGGCAGCCGCTTCAGCAAGAAAATCACGGGAAAGATGATACAGACGCTTCTGATGACAATGGCTAGAGCAATCCTCCCCACCATGCGCCATGTCAGCACCGTTGTGTATCTCAGTGGGGCACAGATGGCCACAAAGCGGTCAAAGGCCATGGCTAACAGGATGGCTGACTCCCCCACAAACATTGTGTGGACAAAGAAGACTTGGGTGACACAGGCATCAAAGGCAATGTTGTGGGCATGGAGCCAAAAGATGGCTAGGGCCTTGGGCACAGTAGTAGTGGACAGCAGGATATCTGTGATGGCCAGCATGGAGAGAAAGAAATACATGGGTTCATGCAGGCTCCGTTCTGTGATGATGACCACTATCAGGATGCTGTTCCCAAAGACCGCAGTGACATACATGAGGCACAAGGGTACAGACAACCAGGTATGATAAGCCTCTAACCCAGGAATGCCAAGGAGCACGAAAACTGCAGGGTGGAAGATAGTGATGTTGCTGTGAATCATGGTGCCCACTATAGCTGATGAGTGGCTGGAAGTGAAGGAACAGAAAGAATTCTTGAGCGTGTGCAAAGGCACAAAGGCAGATGTGAACTTGTGAATTGCTGAGCTCCCAAGAGAAAGCTCATCTAGAAGATGGTGGCTAGGGTGTAGGCATGGCTTCTGGCCCTGAGTGTTTCATTTGCACAGTTTCTGTGGCAAGGTGCTTTAGAACCAACAGAAGCTGCACCTGTCTCCATTCACCCTGCCCCCAGTGTCCTCAACCACCTCCACCTTTTAACATTCATTCTACCATTTTTATTCACGTAAGTACAAATTGCTCTCTACACAGCTTGTACTTGTTCCTTCCCCGACATTTTGTTCTGTATTTACCTAAAGTTCCTTCCCTTCCCTCTTCAGTTTGCCCAAATCTTAGCCTTATAATAGCTCCTCAAGACACACCACTCTGTAATGTGTTCTTAATATATCTCCTTCCTGAAGATATATTAAGTAAACTCGATTATATGTAATCAGTTTGTTTATCTGTCTATTACCTTGAACGTTTCTCAGGACAGCTGCCCTCATGACTCCCTGTGATGGACATGGAGAGCCAGGTGGAAATTGGAAGACAACTAAGAGATGTGTTTGTCCACTGTGACCCAGATTCACAGCCTCCCTGAAGGCAGTGAACAGGGGCAGCCAATGAAACTGAAGGAGCAATATTCATCACCCTCCTCATGAGCCTGTGCTTCACAGAGTCCCATAAAACACCTTTTGATCAATTCTAAACCTGCTTATCCATGTAAAACCTGAAGCCCACACACCCCTCTTCTGGTGAAACTCTCCTGACAAGAGGGAATCAGTCTATTCTGTCTCCCTGGCCTTTACCAGCTCCAAGGCGGCCCTACCTTCTCCCTATTTGCTCTTTCATTCTAGAAGTAACCAAGCCTCCCTGTTACTAAAACCTGTTCTAAATCCCTCTTGTCTGACTCTCCAATGCTCATGGTACATTTGTCTCTGATACTAATTATCTGTCAGCTGTTTGGACAGTGGAAAGGGATAGTCATTAGTAATCTAAATAAGACCTTGAAGAAAACTCTATGGGGCTAGGCATGGTGACAAGCACCTAAAATTCCAGCACTCAGGAAGCTGAGGCAGGAGGAAGGATACAAATTTGAGAGTAGCCAGGGATATATAGTGAGTTCCAGACAGACCAAAGCTAGAGAATAGGTTCTTGTCTCAAATAAATGCCATGAGAGAAAAGAGAAAAAATTAAAACTATAAATGCATCACATAAAAACTAGACATTCTGAAAAACTGTTCCAGGAGTCATGCAAAGGAATAAAATCCTCAGTTCAAGAGTCCATCCTCCTGCCTCTGAAAATGTATTTGGTAAAAGCACAATCTGCTTTAAGAAACAATGGGACTACAAGTGGATACAAGGGATAAAGCAGAACCAGCCCCCAACAGGTAAAGGCCAGGCAGTCTCATCACATGATACCTCTCAGCGAGATCTCTTAAACGTTTGCTCAGAATCCACTCAGGAGAAACTGAGCTTCGTTGGAATAAGCACTAAAGGAGGGGTGTTGATGGGACTGCTCTGCTTTTATTTTAAGGGGGGGCGGTGTTGGTAGGGGGGCTCTGCCTTTATTTTAGAGCACCACAGTCAAGTTTACAGAAACGAAAGCATTTAGAAAACAAATTCATTTTTCTTAGAAGAAAAGCTATCAGTATTTAAATCTTTATTACTTCTCCTAACTCTGCTACTTACTAATTTATCCCTTTTTTTAATAACGCAGTATGTGCTAGATACAGGCTCTCAATTCATTCCTTCTCTCTGCTTGCAACTACATGATATAACCATAAGACTGAGATGCCAAGGGCCTGGGCAGCTGGTGATGAAGTCCTGTAAAGGATGCTACCGACTGGAAAGGAGAACTGTCACTGAGTGTTTTCTGGGGCCACCATCTCAGCCCTGCTGTTACTCTGCCAAACAACACTGAAGGGTTCTAGGTTCACAAAGGTCAGGGGATGAGGGTCACAAAGAGGCATACATAGTCTCACAGAAAGCACTTCGTAGGGCTCTAAAGGAATATTAGCATGATTTTACAAAAAAAGACAGAGAGCCAGAATGGTAGAGAAAGGCCAGGAGCCGTGAGAATGAAGGAGACCACATGGTGAGTGGGAACTCTGACTTATGGAGCCAGGCCCTGATAAATGATCTCAACTACATCACCTTACTTCTGAATGCCTCTATTTTCTCCTCAGCAATGAGAGAACAATAATCAATTTGGAGGGACAACTGTGAGGGTTACAGAGTTCACCCAGACAGCACACTGAGACAGTAAGGGCTGTTGCTGTTATCTTGTCCTCATTGTTTGTTTGGCCACCATCCTACTGTACTTTTTCTGAAAGCAAAAAGCCTGAGCACCATGCTAGAGTGAACACTGCTGTCCTGAGACCCTATTCTTCACCCAGGTCAGACCAAATGAATGCCTTTCCCAGGAGGAAAGAGGATGTTTTGAACAGAGAAAGCACCAAAGAGAAGAGAGTCACCTGCAAGCAGGTATCTCAGAACCTGGTATCTCAGAACCTGAGCCTAGACCCCAGACCAAGATTTAGCCTGGCTCAGAACAACCTAGCAGACTTCCTTCAAGTGCTTTGAAAACCACCCATCTGTCTCAACAAAAACAAAGAGAAAGTGTCTCTGTCATCTACAGAAGTTCCTAGGACATGGTGGAGTGTCAAGGGTAACTGCAGTACCAAGAGAGCTGGAGTAGGGGCCCCAGGGAAGATGTCCAGGCTAGGAATCAATGCTTCCTCATGGCTCCTATGCAGGCTCTGTCCTTTTTCTTCTCTGTGCCAAGTCCTACCTACCTACAGATGTTGCCACTGTCCATGCCTTCCTTCTGGAGTTACACCAAGGCCTTCTGTATCTCTACAGTCTGAATTTGGAAGGTTGTGAACATAATATATTAGAATGTACTCAAAATTCCCATCCTAGGTAATTGTTAGATGACTCTATGAACTGCTTCGTGGCTAGCTGAGTTACTTAGACATTTATTAATACACATATCAATTTCACCTTGCCATCTCCCTTGTAAATGCATTTCATATTTCATGTGTTTTTCACCATTCAGACTCTCTAGACTGCACACTGAAGCCATGCACCTGCACACTTTATAGCAGGATCACTGCAAGCTGTGCCACGAGAAATTTGTTCCTCTTCAACTTTTCTCATTAGCGTGCACTACTAATACATATTAATGAGGTACAGTTTAACTATCATACATGCATATAATAGGGAGATCCAATTTAGAAAATGCTTACCTTTTAATGTATTGGTAGTCCTCACCCTGTTTACAGGCACTCAGAAAGCATGTCCCATATTTTCATAATCTAAAACCAGCATTAGCTATGCTGCAAAGGCACCAAGAGTCCCTTAAACTCACTATCACAACTTTAGAGAATGGGTAAGTCATTTTAATTAACAAATAAAAATGTATGTATTGTGTACAACACTATATAGACACACAAGTACATATAAAAGCATTGTGACACATCTAATAAAGAGAAATATTATGTGTATTATTTCACATCAGTTTCAGTGATAACATTTAAAATCTTTCTGAGTAATTTTAAATATATAATATGCTCTTATTAACCACAGTCACTATGGTGCAAAATAGACCCTTTGAATTTACTTCCCCTGCCTAACAAACTATATGTTCTTACTGATGTCTAAGCCCTGGACCCCACAGCCTCTACTACTAAGCATGACCCAAGTTTTTTAATGAATTAGCAGTTTAAGAAAAACGCCCACCTAAATATTTTGGGGATTGTATCCGAATTTGAGTGACACAGTGTGTCGTATGTGATGATCATCTGCTGTGCTCTGGTGATGTAGCAAAACTGCAGCAACTCCTAACTCCATAAGCAACCTCATCTCTCCAAGTGTCTACATCTGCTCTACAAAATGCAGGACAGGAAGACAAATTGAGGTGGATTTTCCAGGTTTGAACCTGAAACCCAGATTACCAAGAAAAAATGACCTTAACAGTTCTCACTTGGGCCAGTGGTGTGGCTCGGCAGGTAAAAGCACTGGACACACAAGGCTGAGGACCTGATTTAGATCTGCCACACTCACAGGAGAGAAGCAACTCCTGAAAGTAGTCCTCTGATCTCCACACATGCAGCATCCACAACACATATACACCATACACATACAAATAATAATAATAACAAAAAATATTTAAAGAATTTCCTCAGTTTAGGACAGGAGTTCATGGCACTAATCAAAAAGCCTATCACATTACTAGCATCTAAGAACTATTTGAACAAATGAGCTACGAAACTGGTAAATTAACATTTATCTAATATTTTCCTTGTTCCACCAGAAGGAGACAGTGGTCAGAATCTAGGTTATTTCTATGAGTAGTCCACTGGCACTCCTTTCCTTCTACAGTGATTTGAGCTGCCTTCAAATCTTTATCAAGAACTGATTCCTCACCATATCCTCCTGGTACCTTCTAGTCCCCTCTCTGGACTCTCATTTCTATCTCTCCCAGTATCCACCATAAGTCCAATGATGTCTCCCCACCTAAGTTCTGGCATGGTGCGATCCCTCTCTCATATATTTTGTCCATCTGACTCCTTTGATTTCTCCCACATATGCATTTCCTCTCCTAGCTTCAGTCTTTGTCCTTTTCAGATACACACACACACACACACACACACACACACACACACACACACACACACACTCGCCTGTCCCTCCTTCTGCCACCACCAATGTTCTTAAACTCACCTATCACATGGCAGTATCAGCTGAGGAACTGAGGAAGTGGCAGAGAAAAGCTACCACTCATTCTGAGAAGAGAGCGACAATAGGAAAAAGACTGCACGCTGATCATGTCGGCTTGTGTGGCTATCACTGCTCCTTGCCTGTGGGGGACCTTTATAGCTAGATACTGAGAGGCCATGGGTATCCTTCTCAAGAGGCAGGTGTCAGTACCACCCCTGGGATCACCGAGCATGCGTCCAGTGAACCTCAGGAGAAATGAAAACCTTTCCACTGGTGCCAGCAGGAACACTAACTCTAAGGATAATGAGTAACCCCAGAAAAAAGAGACAACATGGAACAGTATTAGAAATCCTAGCAACAAAATAACATAGTGACATCCAATGTGTTAGGCCTTTACTACATCCCTGTCACTATTTTGAGTTTTTAGCACAAATTGTATCATTTAATTCTCAAAATAACCCAATAATAAAAGACACTATTATTATATCCATGTTTTAGATTAAAAAAAAATAGAGGCTGAGATACTAAATAGTTCATCAAGAGAAAAAAAATATAAAATTCTGAAACTGAATACATAAAAGTGTTCAGACTCAGCCCTAAACTCAGTCCTTGACTAATTATGAAGCAACCCTGGAGGGCCTATACCTCGAGGTAATCTCAAAGAAAAGGGGACGGAACTAAGGAAAATCTGATTAAAATTCTTGCATCATTAAAAGCAAAATGCACAAGTTCATGATCATTATCTGGGAAATGCAAATCAAAACCATAGCGAGATAACACTGTGTACCCATTAGGAGAGCTACCATTAAAAATTAAAATTAAGATTAAAAGAAAAAAAACTTAAGTTGGCCGGGATATTAGAGACTATGCTTTGTTGATGGCAGTCTCAGATGGCACAACTGCTCTGGAATCAGCATGCCAGTTCCTCAAAAGATAAAATTACTATATGACCCAGTACACTGGTTCCTCAAAAGATAAAATTATTATATGAATTTCTGGCAACTCCATTTCTGGGCATACACCCAAACTGAAAGCTGGATGGCACAAAAACATCTCAAGAACTGACAAATGTGTTACATTACAATTAAAAGACTCTGTGCAACAAAGGAAATCATCCCCAGAGTGAAAAGACAGCCTGGAGAGGGGGGATGGGGCAAATCTTTGCCACACAAGCATGAAGATCTCATTTTCTATCCCCAAAAAACACTACAGTAAGGTGAAAAGAAGAATCCATTTATTTGCTGATTTCAAGCAAAGCACTGGGGCTGCTCCTTCAATCTCAAACAGGGTGTTGTTCTAAGGAAAGGAAGTGCAAGCTGAGGAGAAATGAAATTACTCCAGGAACACATGATGAGACTCAAGCTGATTTTGTTTTATTAAGTCCACATAACCCTGAAACATGCTGTCATTAAGAGAATCCATTCTGGACTCACATTGACCTGAATTCAAATTCAGATTCATTAGATGTTTGGTGGTCATAAGTAAGGTACCCATTCGTCAACTATATCATATATAACATAGAGACAATAGCGTCTAGCTCCACACTGAGATGAGACACATACAATGCTTAGCCTACACCTGACTCCTAAGGAGTATTTGGTAACTCATGATTTGAGAGTTGTTAAGTCTGTACACATCAATGAACAGCACAGTCTTTACAACCTCAGAGAGAAAAAGACATAATAAACCATATATAAAAAGCATATGGCCTAAACATGCTTTTATCAGAATTTAAGTTTCCTACAAGATAAATGACACAATAAATAAAATCAGAAGGCATCAGCCTGGAAGGTTGTATTTCTAATGTAAAACAAAGGGTTGCTCTCTAGAATACTTACAACATCTACATGCTTATGCAAGAAGGAAAACAGCTGGCTAGAAAAACAGACAAAAGAAGAACTGGGGAATTTCCAGTTGAGAAATCCTAAATAACCAATAAATGCATGTAAAATGCATATTAAAACAAGGTAATATTATTAATTATAGTCATAAAATATCAGTCTGATAATATAAAGTTGTCAATGGTGTTTAAAAGATAATATTTTGCATAAAGTTGCTAAGTTAAAGAAGTCAAATTAGAACAATTTTACAATACTCTGCTAAAAAAAGAAATGCGCATATTTTATAATCCATAATTTCACATGGAAATATGCTCTAGAGAAAGATGTGAAACTTTCACATCTTCATTTATATGGAAGATGTGTACAAAGTTGTCAATACTAGTATACATAGCAAAATAGCCAGAAGCAATTTTAAATATATTTTAAAATACATATTTGGTATTAATCATAGGTTATTAAACTATATAGCAATTAAAAAGGGTGATAAAAATCTGCTAACCTGTATAAACCAAATTAAAAAACATAATTTCTATATATAATAGGGATTACTTCATGTAGGTATATAAAAGCACCGATTAAGAAAAGCACTAAAAATTCATAGTAATTATTTCAACATGAGAGAACAGGACATCATATGGGATAAAAGGGACTTTAGTATCTGTAATTTTTATTTCCTGTATTAAAAATAGCTCAAAGCAAGTGGGATAAAACATTAACAACTGACAATCTTGGGCCTCCTGATTCCTGTGCCATATTCTTATTCTTTGTGCTTTCTTTTATATGCTGGCCACTTCTAAGATAAAAGTATGATTTTTTTTCAGTAAAATACAAAAAAAGAAAAAATACAAAAGACAAGAGGCCAGTAATGAGAGTGCTGCAATATTCCAGAATAAGGCATGAGACATAAAAAAGGACACACTCTGGAGGAGACGGGAAGGCCTCAGACACACAAGGTCCTGATGAGAAGGCCTCGACGGCTGTTTGAGCGCTGTCTTAGTACATTCGAGCTGCTGTGATACAGTATTGTAGACTGTGTGGCTTAAACAACCAGCATCTCTGTCTCACAGTTCTGGGAGCTGAGAAGTCCAAAATCAAGGAGCCCGCTGAGGAGGCTCCCCGGGGGAGCTCTGTTCCTGATTTAGAGTCAGCTAGCTGCCTTCTCACTGGGTTGCACATAAGACATGAAGAGATAGGGAGGGCGGAGGGAGAGAGGATGCTTGCTCTTCCCATTCTTGTAAGAACACTCATCTCATTCAGAGGCTCTCATGGTCTCAGTTCAGCCTAATTATCTCCCAAAGCCCCATCTCCAAATATCACAGTGGGAGTTGGTGCAACATATGAATTGGAGATACTATACATTCCCCAACAAAATGTAATAAGACTATCAATCTACCG